CACACTGACCTGCAGGCTCCAAGGTTAGTTGAAACTCCCAAAAACTGAGAGGATCTCTTCCCGTGGCTCACCCATAGAGGGGGTGAGACCCCTAACAAAAGCCCAAACGGCAAACAGGTACCAGCCCGCCCCCACACACAGTGATATAAAGGCATTATAAGCAGTCAGTAGCCAGTACACCAACATAAAACCCTTTATACATTTTCCACTGATAACAAACACCACCACTGGGATCATATACTGGATATAAGGATTAATCCAGCCCCACCACGCAAGCAAGTGGGCCAGCATTGCAAACATTTTCTTATCAAACAGTACAAATACAAACAGAAAAATTATACCCAACAGATTGCTCTAACACACTCTGGTCAGGGTCTGTCCCTTTTTGATTCTTATTTTAACCCTTTTGTGCCCCACGTTGGTGCGCCATAAGGGCTGTGGTGGTTTAAGCCCTGCCAGGACCAGAGACCACGTTGCCCCTACCCCTCCCCCACCCTCAGCTGGTCAGGCTGGCAGTGAGGCACAAACCCCGGGTTAAAATAAGAAGAAATTTAATACAACAGTGTGATAAACAATCTGAACAACAACAGTAGCAATGATAGCAACAATAAACAGCAATAACAGTAAGCAAGACAAAAGATATACAGGGAAATACCACAATGGTTACAGACAGCTCGCTTGCATGCTCCCTGCGACAAAAGCAACAAAGGAAAAGTTCCTTCGCCTGGACCTGACATCAGCATGGTATGAATAACCCGGCTGGAGATCCCTTCCCCCTCTCTGCTGGGGAAACTTAACCCTATCCTAGCTGAACCAGAACAGCCTGTAATTCCTAAATTGCATACTGTTTTCTCCCACTGAGTCTCTATTTAAGCCTTATGGAGTTGAGCTTAAAATACACTGCATGTGTTCTGTTGGATCCCATGCTTAAATATACTGTGTAAGTTATCTCATTAAAGTTAAAACAATTCAAAAGGTAGGCATACTCAGAGAGGCATAGGACAGAGGTACTTACATAGCTTTTGAGGCTTTCTTCTTCTAGCTGTTCCACTTTTCTAGCCTAATAGTATTTATACTATTTTTAGGTAGTTCAACAAACCTGAAGCAGTTCCTGAATCATTTAGTAGGAACATTAAAATTCTAAAATGCTCTAACGAAATTTGAGGTATTGCTGACCATTGAGCCTGGAAGGAAAAACATAACATTTTGATTACAGCTTGAAAATTAAGAGGAAGGAGGAGCACTGTGGTATTCAACATTTTTTATATGACTCGAGTACATTGCATGTCACATACAACTGACCTGAGATTTCTACTTCATTAAAACGGGGAAGCAAAAGACATAATTTTTCCAGGGTGATGGTTTGCATTTGGGTTTTTTTGTGGTTACCTTTTGGGGTTTTTTTTTTGTTTTTCCTTCTAGCAGTATGGTAAGCAGTCCTCCTCATTTGTTGTGCCAGTACTGCCTTTTGTCTCTGTGTAGATGATAAGACTGAGAATAAACCGTTAAAATGTTTTTACATTTTGTTTTTCTGAGCTGAATCTATTCTATGATCCAGCTAACCACGTTGCTGCACTATTGTACTAATCCAGTGGACAGTATGTGGAATAAATGGGGAAGATGACCTAATAATTGAGTAGTATTTAATTGTCTTACATTTAAGAGAAAATACCCCAGCAGCTGACTAGTGAGGCGGTAGTGGGATATGCAATCAGTGAGAAGGCCAGCCAGCAATGAGAAAGAATTTGAGAGGAGCAGCGGGATGCAATGCAAAGCTACAGTAAATGTTGATTATGCACGATTTGGCAAACTGTATTTAAGGTTTCTATTGCAGTTGTGACCATCCCTTTTCAAAATAGGATCTGTCAGTATCCAATGTCAATTTGTGTAGTTTAACACAGTATGCATTGGACAGAGCAACGTTATCTAGAGGGGAAAGTAATTCTAATAAAATAACTTTACTTCTAAGATACAGTTAGAGTAAGTAAATTCAGTGGTTATCTCAAAGTTCTCTAAAGCAGTGTTGTAAGGGGAAAGCATCTGTATAAATCTTGGCCATTAGTATATTGCAGGTTTTTTATAGTTGCAGATTGTGGAAATAGAGCAGAGGTTTGTAAACTTAATATTTACTTCCTTCTAGAAAGGTTTTTTGGAGTCAAGGAAAGCCATGGTCTCAACAATAAGTAGCCCCACTTTTCTCTGCTCTCTCTCCACTGCTGCAAGTCCAAACTAATTTCAGATTCTTCATGCCAAAGCCTGACATTACCAAAGCTTGTGGATGAGGTGGTTGAATTTATTTTTTTTCATGTGAGCAAATAATATTTCTGTAATCTCTTTCTTGAAAAGAGCTGGACTGTTTTCATTGCCACATTGTGAAGATATCATCTGAGACACACACCTGGAATACAATTTTTTTTTGTCTACACAGGAAATGGCCACATTGTAAGCATAAACATCCATGCTTTACAACAAAAGATGATAGGGAATCCTAAATTCTATGTGGACCTGTCATTTCAGATCATAATACACAAGGTACAATGAAATGTCATGTTCCAGAGTCAGAGTTTAACTTAATGCGACAGTTCTGTCTCTGAATTTACCAGGGTGTATCTAATTCTTGTGTTTTAGGTTTTATTATTTTCATATTACCATAATGTGTGACAGATCTTGTCACAGATCGTTTCTTTTAATGCATGTAATACCTTTCCTTCTGTAGTACCTGTGATAAAGATACACTTTTGATGCATGATGATCCTTAATACAAAAAAACATAATTTGTGTTCTACTGTTGCAATACACAAACATGGGGCACAGTTACCATTCTTAAGTTACTATTCAGTAATTTACTAGGTGCGTTATGGGTTAGTTGCCTTAAAAACTCTCTAACAGTTTTTCTGTCCCTGGGCACTCAAACAAGGCTAACTTCAGCAAAAGCCTGCAGTCAAGTCTAAGCACTTGTTTACTTATGTTAACTTGATTTCTATCAAGAAGAAATCAGTGAAGAAAGATACAATAATTTTTTTAATCTGGTTGTTAACCAGTGTTTAAAACAATTGCTCAAAGTTCAGTGATGTGCACACTCCATTCCATTCAGTAAAGCAACTGATAAATGAAAAGTTAAAAAATAGCCCCAAAATCAAATAGAATGTTTTAATATTGTCCTGGCATATGTCTGATGATTTTTTATAAAAAGAAGATTCTTCCTGTAACTGGAGTCTGATAAGTAATACCAGCCAAAGAATAAATTGTTCTTTTCTATAAAATTAAAGCTTCAGGCTTATCATTGTCAGTGGGGGAATTTTTCTTACATCAGGATAAAAGACTTTGTCAGCATGTGTAATTAGGTGGAGTGTTAGTGTATAGAAGCAAAACCACTGGGCTCTGTTCTTTTGTCTTTTAAGAGATAGCTTAACATGGTTTTGTACAGTCAGTGGGCCTGGGAATTGACAAGTTAAAAGGTTGTTTTTTTCACTAGTTTGCTAATATTGTCATAAGAAATACCCTGCAGCACTACATAATCACAAAGTGGTATTGGTTGGAAGGGAGGTCTGAAGGTCATCTTGTCCAACCACCCTCCCTTGGCAGGGCCACCTAGGGCCAGTTGTCCAGGGCTGCATCAAGGCAGCTTTTGAGTATTTACAAGGATGGAGACTCTACCACGTCTCTGGGCAGCCTGTGCCAGTGCTTAGTCACCCTCACAAGTAAAAAAGTTTTTCTGGATGTTTATATGGAAACTCATGTGTTTCAGTTTATGCCCACTACATCTGGTCCTGTCACTGGGCACCACTGGAAAGAACTTGACTCCATTCTCTTTGCAGCCTCCCTTCAGATATTTGTACACATCAGTGAGATCCCCCTGAACCTTTTCTTCTCCATTCCCAACTCTGTTAGTCTTTCCTTTTAGAAGAGATGCTCCAGTCCAGTGGTTCATCTAGCTCAATATTCTGTCTTCAGCAGAAGCAACGGGAGATGCTGTATGGTAAACGTCAGTAGATCTGGTGACCTCTGCAGTCCTTTCTCCCCGTACTCCTCCATCATCCACAGCCACTGGACTAAGGATGACAAGAGGCATGTTCATACCTATATGTGGCTGCTTGTGGACACGTCCATTTGTCCTTTACACTTGCTGATGCAGTTTACTTACACAACTTTCTCTGATGTCATATTCCATGCCTGAAAAAAGTTTAAGCTATCCTTAAGAAAGCTTGCCACAGTAGGAACAAATTTTATTGGTTGTTTTTGCATAAATTGGCAATAAAAATGATCCAGCTGTGATAATCAGATGTGGGATATAATTGAGCTGGTCAGTCTTTTATAGTAGTTCCAGATTTCATTCATGAACTGTTTTGTATTATTCTTAAAACGTTTAGTGAAAACTCATCCTTGTTATGGAGATACTGCCTTGTGGAAATCGTTCAGAAATACCTAGAGCTTTTTGGTTCCATAGATATTTAATATCTAAAACCAGGATAAAGCTGCAGGGAGGCAGAGAAGCAATAAAATGGCACTGAAATTCACAGTCCAAGGACAACTAGAAAGTAATGTGAGCCTTTCCTTTAAAGCTCATGTAATTTGACAACTGTTCACTGAATTTTACAAACTGTGTCTATGTTCTTGGTCCTTTTCATAAGGAAGAGTTTGTGTGTCACACCAACATTCCTTACTTCCTCCCAGAACACCAAAACATCATTAGAAATGGTTGTCCGAGTTATTCTCCTAAATCCATGATTTGTCATCTTAAATGACTGGTATGCTTTATTTCAGGTGCTGAGCAACCATCAGTTACTGTTGTCTGTCTTTCATCCATAAATCACTTAGGTATTCATGTAACTTTTACTTCCCAGCTTAAGTTACTTTTGCTTCATGAAAGAACTTTTGTACAGTGAAAGAAAGAAAAGACCGGCTGAAGCACACTGTAGAATGTATTTGAACTGGCTTATAATGGGAATAAGGAAAAATACATGTGCATATATATATATATATATATATGTATTTTACAGAAACTGGGGGAGAACTGGACATAGTGGTTACTTCTAATAAAGAGGTAAAAGTCGCAGCAATTCGAGATGCCTTTCAAGAAGTCTTTGGAATGGCTGTTGTTACTGGAGAGGCTGCACAGTCTAACATCGCACCCCAACCAGTGGGTTATGCTGCAGGTTTAAAAGTAAGTTGATAGGTAACATTACTAAAGTATCTCCAATACAAAGAGAGTGCGTGGAAACATTCACCCAAAAGAATCTGATTTTCCATGAAGGGAAGGTCAATTTGTGGGGATAAACAGTTCCTTTTTTTTTTTTTTTTTTTTTTATAATTGCCATCTGGATCATTAGATCAGGTTAAAGCTGCTTGTTGAAATAGTTTTTGGGTATTTTTGAAAACACATTCACAGCAAATGAAGAATGTCAGTTTTCTTAAACTGTTACTGATTGCCATCACATCAGTGTGATACTACTGTAGTTTAGAAATACTTCAGGCATTTCTTCTTAAGTCTATTCCTATCATGTTGAGAGTATTAGAAATTAAAAGAGACTCTGAGACTGAATTGTCTCCCCACTGATTCTGTAGGTCAGAGTTTGATGAACACTTCTCGGGGATCTTCCTGAACAGATCTGTGTTATGTTTAAAAAAAGTAAGAATTCACTGTGCAGCCTTGCAAACAGCTGTGCTGGCCTGAAGGAACGATTAGCAAAGGTTGTTTCACTAGATTTTCAAAATCTGCATTTGCCAGTTGTTTCTAGGTGCAACCACCTCCTTGGCCAATAAATAAGAATCCTGAAAACTACTTTTTAGTATTTTGGTTTACATTTATTTGTATTATGTATTTGTTTACATTTAAGAAATTTACTCATTTAAAGGAAGTACTTTCTCCTATCTGCTGTGGCAGTGTTCACAGCTGAGTAAAGCCTATCCTCATAGCACTATATTAGCTGATACAATTTTATATTGAGGTAAAGGAGAATAATGTATATCTTCCTTTACCTGTTTAGCTACTGCAGTGTAGTAGTAGTAGTAGTATTTCTATTACAATTTCATAGTGATAACAGGAGTGAATGATTTCTACATCTTAGTTGGATAAGTACCACAACAAAGAGATTCTCTCCCTTGGTCTTACAAAGTTGGTCTAAAGCTCTTAAAAGGAGCTATACCCAACAAATCTTAAGCTGCAAAATTGTCAGTGTGAGTAACAGAAATATACGCTGATACTTTAATTAATAGTGAAACTTGGCACAGTTACAGGTAAGGAACTCTTTGCATGCTAATCTATGTCTTTTACACGGAAAAAGAACAAACTAAAAATACTTAATTAATTATTTTATATATTTATTACAGGTTTTTTATATTTATTATAGTTTTTGTTACAGTTTGGGATTCCATTATAACTTTTCATGAGTTTCATTTTTTGTTTTTCTAACGTTAATATTTTTCAAAATCTCTCGTGTTTTGTGTTTAACTTGAAAAGTATGTTCTAGAGTTCTTTTTGTATTCATCTGTAAGTATTGTACCATGTTGTGATTCAAAGAGAATGTTGTCTGACAGCTTATGTTACCATTTAGGGAGCCCAAGAAAGGATAGACAGCTTGCGTCGGACAGGAGTAATACATGAAAAACAGCCTGTTGTATCAGTAGAAAGCTTCATTGAGGAATTGCTTCCTGACAAGTGAGAACTTTAAATATATTCCTGGGGTGGGGTTGCACTGGAAGGTGGGGAAGGAATATTCTTTGTTGACTCAAAGGGGCCTGTAAAGACTTGTTGGCAGTATCACTCTAAGCAGAGGAAGGAAGAGAGTCTGTCTTCAGTATTACATTGGCAGACTTGATTTTGGTGATGATGTTCAGCTTTTTTGTCCCACATCTTACAACTTTTAATATAGAAAATTCTTGTCAGGCTTTTTAAAATTCAGCATATAAAACCACAATGAAATTATACTAACTAACAAAATTAAGGAGCTGTAAAAGTTGAAATTTGGCTAGGAGTTTGCTCATTCTTATGTGTACACTCTGTCTTCTCTTTCTGTGAAATTGTATTTGGTTCAGAAAATATATTGGGTGATGTTCTGGCATTTGCAGTAATACAGTTTTATCAGATAATATATAATCCATTTTCCTTTCACCAAGAATGTGCTTACTACTTTTAATTTGCACTGAACAGACATAACAATGGTGTTTTCAAATACATTACACCTTGATTTTGTAACATACTTTTTGACAGACAGTTCTTGAGGTAGCTTATGATTAATTTCCAAAACATTAAGGACGATGTCATGTTTTTCTTAATGCAAACTTAAATAGTTTTTTTCTAATGTTTGCATTTTTGTTCATGTGATGGGCATTGATTTGTTTTTTTGACACGTATGTCCTCTTGCTCCATTTTTAAAGGTACATTTAATATCCTTAGTGGTAGATGGATGGTGAAGTTACTAAAGTAAATAAAATTAGGAAGTATTTCAATTTTTATTTAGTATTTATTTCCATCTAGTCTGATTTAGATGTTTTATCATATTTCCACAAAGGAGTAACTATGACAATGATATCTCTCGTTTCAAAGTAATTGCTGTTCTTGTCCTTTGAATTTAGTCATTCCTAAATCTGAAAATGTTGCTTCAAGTACTCGACATGAAAGAGCTCATCCAGGACTGCAGTGTTACTGAAAAGAATGATAGCTCTTCTGTGCTCACGCTACAGGCCCCAAGAATATCTTGATCTTCGATGTTAGTTATAGTAGAAACAAAGAATAACAATGCATGCTTTAATTTTTATTCAGTAGGCAACACCGAAAGCTTCCTTTCATGGTGTTACCAAAAAAGCCTTTGAACTATTTTTGGTTCTTGTTTTTTTCTGCAGTGAAATGATAGGTCATCGTGCCATTAATTGATTATTATTCTGAAGTGATCATTGTGGTATTACAGTTCTAATATGAGGGACGCAGTTAGTGTTTTGCTAATGCTGTTTATCATACTTGAACACGTCCAAAGGAGGGGAGTTTCCAAGTAACCACCCACCAATACGAAGCTCTACACCTAACACTTGGTCACAGCTAAACTTGTGAGACCCTCAGACAGCTGAAGGGCATTACTTCCCCTTTCAAATGCATGACCTGAATACTATTTGCAGAAAAAGTTGCAAACTCTAATATGTAATTTACCCTTTAGACTCTAACATTTATTAATTGGGAGGAAGTTATCTTTAACCATGAAGCTTTCTCAACAGTCTCTCATAGCTGTAAGTGAGGTAGTGCTCTATCACAGTGCATTCCAGTGCTCTGTTCCCTGCTATGAAGATTATGCAAGTCAAGTACTTCTTCCTGTCTTGCCCCACTAAACTCTTAGGATGAAGCTTATGTGGCCCAGCCAGTTGTTTCTTCAAATTTGAGTCCTGCATTTTTTCTTTTAAGAACATTCTTACTTCCTGCGCTTTAAAGAATAAGATACAATTTATATATAGACATTACTATATGTGAAACATTAGCTACAATAATGTACCTTTTAATATTTTTTATGATTCTTGGCCTTGATTTTGTGTTTGTGCTTTCCCTAGAGTATGTTTCTCCTGTTGCAACTCAACTATAAAACTGTTAAAGGAATTGAATACAGTGAGGTAGTGATGATGCATTCCCCTTAGCTTTAGTGGGATCGTGTCAGTGTTGTTAGTTTGTTGATAGGGAGAAATGATTTAATGTTTTTGCAAGTTAGATAGGGAACCATTTCAGGTACTTGCTTCAGTAGTTTTTACTGTGTTTGCTATAGCAGGCACCATCTTTTCTGAATGGTGCAGAGGTGTTTCTCCAATTAAATAATTTAAAAGGTTGTTGTAGGATTAGACATACCAAAATACCTTCTGAATAAAGAACATGAATTATATGATTTTTTTAAATTGTTAGTGAAGGCTATCATAATGAGAAACATTTTTTCAAAGATTAACTAAATCTGTAGCATAATAAATATGACCAAAAGAATGTATCTGCACACATATCCACTCTACCATCTTTCTTTGTTTCTTTGATCTGTAAATTTAATGTATTTTATATCCTGTTATGTATATTATGTATTTTACATGCACTATAATTCTATATATATAAATTGATAAGTGCAAATTTCATCTGAAATATACTAAAATACTTTGATGAAACTTGCTATTACATTATTACTACATTTGCAGTAAAGTTTATAAAATGGTTCTAATTCAACTGCTGACATGTTGTTTTTCAATTTGAGTGATACTTAGTATTCAAAAGAAAAGTAACTTTCATGTCATTGCAGGTGGTTTGACATTGGATGTCTGATTATTGAGGATCCAATTCATGGAATTCATCTAGAAGCTTTTACCCAAGCAACACCAGTGCCTTTGCAATATGTTCAACAGGTGAGTTTTCAGTTTTCTTACCAGTGTTGGATTAACACTTGAAACATAAGAGTTAAGTTTTAATTTCATTTATGTCAGTTCTTACTGATAGTTGCTCCACTTGAGTGTTTTAATTTATGAAGTGAGTATAAAAACTGGGTTTGAATCATGTTTACGTATTACCTAAAAATCTTTAGTCATTTGGGGCAAAGCAATCAAGAGTCTCATTCTGCAATACATGGCACTTGGAAGCACTAGTTTTACTTTTCTGTTAATGAAGAAGAAATAGTCCTAGAAGAAATTAATCACAAAGAAGTAATTCCTCAAAAAGGAAATACAAATTTAGTAATTGAAATATTGTCATCAGTCTGGTTCAGTGACTTAAAATTAACTTTCGAGAATCTTTACATAGATAAAATAATAATACTTATTCTTCCTCGGCTGTGAAAGGAGGTCTTTGCAGCTTAAGTAATGCACTAAGCAACTACACCAGTAAGCACTCTTACCATCCAAAGACTTGGTTTCCTTTCCTTAACTTACTTCATATATGTATTGGAGTTTCATCTGATGCCAACAAAATTGTAAAAGTGAAGTGCTTGTGTGCACAAATGTGTATGTTAGCAAATCAGTGCAATTTTATAAACTGAGATCTTACTACTCATTTTTTAATAAAGCTTGTAAAGCTTTGGTATTTATGTTGTTAATTATCAGCAAATATAAGTACTATGCTGTTTTTAAATATCACCATTAGAAGTTTTTCACGAGATTATTTACATTTCTTTGGTCACATACTGGGAATTACTCCAAACACCAGTCACTGCATGTTGCCTGACAGCAGATAGGTGTCCTCCATTAGTTAACTCTGGTCTGAAAATTCTTTTAAAATAAACGATTCTGTGAAGGATGTCAAAGCAAAACTGTTTGGGCTTTGATCATCAGAAGGTTGTTTTGAGAAAACAAATAGAAGCTGTTTAATTTTTTTTTTTTTTTTGGTAGTACCAATTCCAATAGAGTGAACATTTATGGGATTGGATTTAATTCTTATTTTTGAGTTCCTACAACTTTGAAAAACTAATGAGAGGCAAAAGAAGAATATTACTCTGTCTCTGTAGTTTTCTAGGATGCTTTTCAAAAAGTGTAGAGAAAAATGTGAAACTACAGGAAGAAAAATACTAATTAAGCAGATACAGCTTCATTGACTAGATGATCTTGAAAGGTCCCTTCCAATCCGAAACATTCTATGATGCTGTGAAAATAGTCATAGCAATGTGAAGTTACTACTTAAATAATTGTCACATTCTTTGTGGAGCACTGATATGAACTAAATTAATGTTTTTAATATAAAGCATAATAGGTATCTTTACCTTTGTTTCACAGAATATTCTCTATTTTGTCATTTGAAAAATAGTTAATATCTTAATTATTTGAGTATTTTTTTCTCTTTGATAAACATACTTTGTAACTTTGAAAAGTAGTGTTTGCCTTGTAATAGCAGAAAACATTCTTGTTTTAACTTTTCTGCACCCATTTTAGTGTATAGTTTGGTGTGTAGTACAGATTCAGTGGAACTGTAAGCCTTAAACTTGAATTGGAGAGAATCCTGCTCGCCTGTTTAAAGAAAACGGTTCTTGTATATACATCAACAGCAAAACATAGCTTTGTTGTCATGCCTTCAGAGTTAAATTTTTTCTAGTCTTGCTATTACATGTTTCAGTTAACTTACACATAATGTGTGGTGGTAAATCATTGGGCTCTTGATTGTGTGCATGCACCAGTTGTTACCTTTGTTCCCATTATGTTTTTTCTAGAATCAGAGTGGGTTTCTCTCAAGGGTGTGCAAGAAACATGTGTTTTTATAAATCCAGTCCAGTATCTTTAATCAAAATCTAGATGACAACAGGAAAAAAAACATCAATTGTAAAGTTGTTTTTCAGATTAAGAACAGAGAAGCTATATGTGTGGAACAGGCAGTGTTATTTGTTGTCCACAGTACAAAAGATTTAATAGAGGCAACATTAAAAGCAATTATATTCCTTAAAATTCTTGCCAGCTATGTGTTTTACTCTTCAGTGTAATGGAAATAGCAGTAAATTTGTCTGTATAGAACAGATAGTCTTTTGTTACATGTCTTTACCCATGACAGAGTTTTCTGAGCACATAATATGAGACTCAAGGCTCTTGGTAAGTTTAAATATTGCTTGATTTAAGGAGGGAGAAAGGTGGATTTGAGGACTTGTTTTGGGAATCTTTTTCTTTTAAGAGACCAGGTGTCATCTTGATTTTTGTTGAGTCAGAAAACCATGATGAGAAACTACTGCAAGGTTGTTTGGGTATTTAAAATTTTCTTTGAAGTTTACTGATTTTTAGCAGTAAAAATACCAAATAATTAATTTATGAAGTTATGTACAATTGTGGGTCATCTTACTGCCAGAATGGTCTGACTAATAAGGAAAATTTCCTGTTCTTTTGCTTAAGAAATCTGCCTTTTATATACCTCTTGATAATAACAAGTTACTTTGATATTAGAGCAGACTGTATATTCTAACAAACTTACATTTGCTGTTGCAAGAAAGTAGTTTTGGGAAGGCTGGATTACACTAATGAGCTTTGATCATGCTGTACATGCACTAGAAACAAACTCGAATACTTCTCAAAATAAAATCTGTGGGAAGAATTGGGCTCAATGTGCTATTCTGTGAAGAACTGAGTAACACTTAGAACAGTCTTACTGAGGCTAAAAGTCATCTGCCCTTCATTGTATGTGACAGTGACCAGACACGGTTGCCTCGGATGAGCATCAGACCAGATAAACACAGTGGTACTTCTCACTGTTTCCCTTGTGCTTCCAACTTCAGGGAATTACAGCATGTAAAACCTCTTTGATCTCATGCAAATATCTCAGTCCTTCATTTCTGCCAGGCTCAACTTTTTTCTTGTATTTGGCTACTTTCCTGCTTCAGAGGGACGTTTTAACGGTTTTTAAAAACTTTGAAGGGTAAGAATCACTGTATAAATATGTATCATTATTGATTCATCTGTTGACTACTTTAAAAGAGAAAACAACTTCCTGGCAATGGCAGTATGTCTTTACCCTCTTAAGAATCGTATTTTAGTTTTATACTGTTCAGATGTCATTTGGACCATGAAACATACAAATCCAAAAAGTATTGGCTAGACAAATTATGGGGCAGCATGAAATTTCGATTGTGATACCCTTTAGTTTGCCTTGTAGTCCTATTGATATAAAAATGATTGCTTACAGAAACTGGTAATGGTGAAGATAGAAGCAAAACTACTAATTTCAAATTATATTTTATATTATATATTATTATTTCAATAATAACTCCTCAAAATGTTACACAGGCTAAGAGTCTCACTCCTCAGGACTACAATCTGAGATGGTCAGGCCTGTTGGTGACTGTGGGCGAAGTGCTTGAGAAGAGTATACTGAACGTCAGCAGGACTGATTGGCACATGGTTTTCACTGGCATGTCCCGTCGACAGATGATCTACAGTGCAGCTAAGGCTCTAGCAGGAATGTACAAACAACACTTACCACCCAGGACCGTTTGAAAGAAGGCTAATCCATGACGCTAAGGAATACTGGCTTTGATTCTAGAATTGAAGTGAAAGCTACATATTCTAATTCTTGGTGAATCCAACACAGATTTGTAATCTAACTGTAACTGTATTTTACCTTTTAAGAAGTGAAGGTAAATTCCAGTGGTGGAAATGAGCAATTGCAGCTTTTAACTACTATATGATTTCCAGTATGAGTCACAAAACAGGAAATCAGAACAAACATATATTTATAACTGGGAAAAATAGCATTACAGTTTGCAAAGTGGAATGTGCTATTATTTGACACCTTACTAGGCATTTGCTGAGATATTTTTGTTAGTATACTTTTTTTTAAAAGAAGGGGTTCATTGTTTAGCTGTTTCTATGACATTAATAATACAAACATGTTTACAGCATAACATGTATGTTACATATGCATTTCAATCCAGAGAGACTACCTTCTGTATTAGGTGTTTTCTTGGGGCCTCTGCTTAGGTGGTACTTAATGCCTCATAGGTTTTGTGTCTGTATGTAAGTTCTCAGGAGTGATGCTGAGTAGTTTTTACAACATGTAACAGTGAGCTGCTGAAGAAGAGCACGTATCCATGCCCCATTAGTTGAAGTTGTTGCTGAATAATTTTGAAGTCTCACTTTCTATGCTGCATCTTTTTTCTTTTTATGTAACTGTAATGAAATTCATGTCCAGTTAAAACACTAGACAAATCTCAAGTTGCTTTACTGGGTTTTAGACAGGTACCACATACGCATGAAATTATCTCAGCATAACATAATTATGTTTCAACAACATAATTTACTCTAGTGCTTCCAACCTTTATATTTTGTATGAAATTATGTAATTTCTTCTATCAAGTATGGTTGTGAGCCATTTGATGTGGAAAATGGCGAAACATGTATCACTTGCTTTGATATCCTGGGTTTTCTAAACATTTTTAAGTCTTAAATGCCTTCTTGATGTCATGAGCTCACGGTTTCTCATATAAATATTTAGTGGTATCTTAATTTTTTTTCATGGATATAAATGCCCTCTATCCAAAGCTCACACAGTCTTAAATCTATATTTAGAAATATGGAAGTAACGCTGAAGACAATATTTTGGTAATACTCATTTTTTTGAGAAACAAAGAATAAACAGATACTTTTTGTTTGTCTTAAAGAAGCAGTTTTTCAGTTTATATTGCTCTGCCTTTACCTTTCTTGGATGCTTTCAAAGGACATTTTTATGTACAATGTACTGTTAATCCAGCTCATGTTTGAACTCAGTGAAAGCTTGTCTATTTCCAAGTAATATATTTTGCCTTAATTGGCTTATTTGGTAAATTAGATTAATAAATGTTTTTTTAGAAGGTTGTTTCTATTTTAAAGATTTTTTTAAATACAGCTGATAAACATCTCTTTATTGAAATTATGCTTACACAGTCAAGTTACAGGTTTGACACATACTTAAAGGCCTGTCTTGTCTGAAAGAAAACCAATACAGAACCTGACGCTTGCAGTCTTGAGGTCTCTTGTTGGGACCACTTCTTTGTGTCATAAAGTGAAAGGATGATATAGGAACTTCTGTTTGTCATTGTTAAGTAGTTCCACATTGTTAAGTCATCTTTGCTTTTATTGTAATTTTGGTTTGAACTGTAGAATATGTTGAATCCTGCCCTTTTATCCCCCGCTTACAGCATCCTCCATGATGCAAAGGAAGAGGATATGAAATCATCAGCAGGTTTACGTGCCCTGGAATGAGTTAAAATTAAAACTGAAGAAGAATTTCTTCATTGAGATGAAGAAATGAAAGGGGAGGCAGAAGGCAGCTTCTCACTTTTCAGCACTTGGTTCATTGTGGTGATGGTGGTGTTATCTTATGAGGCTGCCAGTGTGGCATACTCCCAAGACTGCCCTGGTGTGCCTTAAGAGAGTTTTTAGGTCTCTATTCTGTAAAAATTTGCTTTCTTCATGCTGAAATGAGAGTGGCTGCCCACTATTCTCTCTGTGTACTTTCTCCTTGTGGTTCGGTGCTGGGATATGATGTGGTCAAGTGAAATGGTCTTGAAGGGGAAAAAACCTGCTATGTCCTGTTAAAAAGACATATACTATGTGACGCAGTTACTCCTCATGGCCACTTGTGTTAGTTTGGGATATTTATCATCAATGAGCTTAGGAAATTCTGATTTTATTCTTTCTAAATAAAGGTACTTGATCGTTTGGTCCAACTTCACAACAAGCCACCCCCCTACAAGATGATAATGTTTAAAGAATCTAATCAGAAAATGTAGAAGGATGGCTTGGCTAAGGAATATCCCCACAAATACTCCCATCCTGTGATGAGGCTGAAAACTTAAGTGTGCTGAGGTGTTCCCAGGAACAGAATGAATGAATTGTGAAAACTGGAGCTGACCACATGATGGGAAAGCTGTGAGGCCAGAGAAAGGAAGATTCTCCAAGGCTTGCTGCAAGTACTCAGTTTGTCTGCCTGTCTGGTTCAAAGATGGGTGTTTAGGAGAGAGTGAAATATTTAGACTTAGTTTTATCTCTTTTTGCCAATATTCTGGTCGCATAGTTAGTATCCATCCATTCTGTACAAAAAAGGATACTCCATATTTTTGGAAATACCTGTAACCTGCTTAAAAGTTACCTAACAGAGGTCCAAGCTGAAAGCTTTGCAAAAAGAAGCCAGATACTTGTCATAGTACTAGCATCCTCAAAAAGAGGAACAAATGCCTACCAGTTACAACGAAGTGTGTATGGGGGGCCAGCAGAGATGAGCTTACATGTGCTAATTTTATTCTAGGTAGTGCAGATAACAGAAAGAAAATCACAGGGATGTATTTGAGCTCCGGTTACTTTTGGACTGGTTGATACTCTGTGATAAAACCCTTGGCACTGCTTTTTCAAAACACTTGCTAGTTGTGTCAAGGTACAGGTGGGAAAAGTGTGGCTATGTGTGCTGCATTACCACCTCTACCTTGTTATGAGTATACAATACAGAATAGCAAAATGAGATGTATGCTGCAAATACATGCCAGGGACAAATTCGGTCCTGTTGCAATTGATTTGATTTCACTGAAGATGCAGCAGCCATAAATTAGAGAAAAAAACCTGACATTTTTTTCAACTCTTTAATGTGTATAAGTACTTTCTATAACAGATACACTGGCATGACCTCTTGGATAGATGAATTTTAGGCATGATGTCACAAATGAGGATTTTGAAGGAGAACATGACAGGGTTACTGTTTTGCTGATTAGGGATACCAATTAAACTGGGACACCAGAGTGAAAAGAGCAGGTGTATTTTACTAGTGATAACCAATGTAACAGTGTAATACAGAAAACATGCAGTAAGAACAGGCAGAATAGTGCACTTATAGCAGCAAACAGGAAAATACAGGGTAATGCATCAAATCATTGCTACCTGAGAGAGAGAGTAGTGATGAAGAAAGATCCCTCACCCCTTGCACATGTTCCCATCACCCAGACCCGCAGTGTCTGGGCAGCCCCGGTTACAGCGAGGGTTTGCAGAGCCTGTCCCGGCAAGGGGGAAATCCTACGGGGTGCATCCACCCATGGGTGAGGCTTCCAAAGTCCCTGTGAGCGGGTCCAGCCTTATATACCTAAAAATCAGTAAGCCAGAAGAGCTGGCACCTTTGTTTTGAGCAGAAAATTTCTGGTTTCGATCTCCTGTTGGATTCCACCCAAAGCCTTGCCAGGGCTCAGGAGGGGAAACCAAGGGAGTTTCTAACAAGGCCAGATACGTGGGTTCTCAGCCTGGAACAAGGCTAAACACGGGAAGCTGGATACATTCTCTCAGCATTTTGTCCTCACTACTGATTATATTCTAGGCCGCATCTCTCACTAGCGAGCTTACATACTTTGTTAATGATTCCAGACTAAGTTAGCAGCTTCAGCTTGGGGCCTGTTGTTCAGACTTCAGTATTTCAGTGCTTTAGCACTTTTTACATCAGCATAAGTGGGTTGTTATAACAGTACAACACATACTAGCACAATGGTTTTCAGTTATAAAATATACAGGATTCATCTGTAGGTCAACTCTGGCTTGGGCTGGTTGTCCAAACCTTAGCATTTCAGTTACCATTAGAGAAGGGCTAAAAATTTAAGTGTGCAAAAACTGCTTTTCTTGGACAAAACTTTTCTTCTGGACTTCATTTGCACAGTAAGTAGTCTGAACAGCTTTTTGCCATAGAAGGTATATAGTTATCCCAGTTCTTGTGCTGTGGCCTTAGTCAGACATTGACTTTTCAAGCAGCTGTAGTGGCTTAAGGTGTTATAGCCCTCTTGGTGGAAGTTTCTGCCCCGGCAGATTCCTAGCAGAATAAATTCTAATCACAATCAGATGAAGTTACTTGGGGCTGCTCTCATACTCTGTTTTGGCTGCAGCTAAGCTGAGCTGAAAACTTACTGCTCTGGGCCTGGCCACAGTTTTTTCATCACAGCACCATTCAGAGCAGCATGGCTCTGTTAGAAAAATCTTGGTGTAAAATTCCCCACACATTCTTGAAACTAATCTGCTAACTTTCAGCCAGCTGCCCCTCTCAAGTTTTGCTGTAGACATCTGTGAAGAAAGTATGGGGCATGTGGGTCCTGCTGAAACAGAAAATAAAGTTTGGTGGAATGTCTTGATCCAAAATCAGAAGAAAAACAGCCTCAGCGACTGCTCATATACTTTCCAGGATGTTCTCCATTAACAAAAGTTTTTTAGAAATGCTTTCCAATACCAGTCTTCTTTTTTAGACACCTGCTCAATTTGGGCAAGATAGTGAGCAATGGCAGAAGAGGGTAAAGAAAAGAATGAATTATGAAAGGATGTCAAAGCTATCAGGAGTTACCAGAGAAGTAGGAATGTCTAGTGAGCAGTGGAGGAGAAGGTACAACAGCTTAATTGTCTTTTTATTCAATGCCCTGGATGCAGGAGATAGTAGAGCGTAGTTGAGAAATCAGATGGGAGCATAGTTTAACTTGGTTGTCTCTGCTACTGCTGATTTTGGCCAGCTTTAGCAGCGCACCAACACATACATGCAAGTCTTGCCATAGAGACATTTAGCATAATTGCCATTTGGTGTCTGTGATTAATGAAGTTTACGGGTTGCTTTTGATGTTTATGCTTGCAGCGTAGGGTAGGTTTTTCAGTGAGAGTTTTTCAAGCTGGAGGTTTTTGAAGAATTCTGTAAATATAAACCTGTGAAAATGAGAATTCTAGTAAAAATTCTTAAGGATATTTGTAAAAGCAGCCCGCCCTCCCCCTTTTTTTTTTTTTTTTTTTCTTTCCATAATAGCATGAGTATGATGTGATGTAAACTTTGCAGATGGAAGAGTTTATCACTGAACAGTATCACCAAAAGAGAGAACTCTGTGGGTCTAGTTTACAATAACATTCACTGATTTTTAACCAAACCAATTTTTAAAATGCCCTTCTTTGTTTCCTACAGTTAGCAGTCACTGAAACGAGTAGCAAGTAAGGACATCCTGTATCCCATCAAAAATTGTTAACAGACTTGAAAACCAGAATAAAATAGCTTCAAAACTGATTAATTTTCTGATGTGAATTTGAACTGCAACAAATAAGCCTTGTCTGTAATCTATCAAGAACTCACATTTCAACATCCTGAATCTCAGAGCCATTTGACTTTGACTTTATGGCTCTGTTCCATCCATAGTTATACAATAAAGGAAAAACTATTATCATAAAGTAATGGTGTATATAGCTACAGTTCTTAAGATGAAGATGAAAAAATGCCAGTTGGTTTGATTTATCGTCTCATTGTCCAGAATTCTGCCAAGTTAGATATTCCAGCCAGTTGACTTTGTAAAGCAGCCAGACTATGACCTGGCAATTAAATTGTGAGTACACAATGCTGCAGAGGTATAGCAGATCTAAAACCACTCAACTGCTGCTTCTGAGCTAATGCAGTGATTTTTCATATACTGGAATCAAAGTAGTAGATGTAGCTTTAAAAACTTTACAGGCAAATTTAAGATATTTTGTGTTCAGAAAGTGTTTTTCAACGGTACCGGGTCTGGCTGAGCCAGAATTGGCTTTCCCCTATAGCAGCCCTCATGGTGCTGTGTTTTATGTCGGGAGCTGGCAGGGTGTTGGCAGCACCCTGGTGTTGTGGCTACTGCTGAGCAGTGCTTACACAGCACCAAGGCTCTTTCTGATATTTCCCCCAGTGGGACGGGGTGGGCAAGATCTTGGGAGGGGACACAGCCAGGACAGCTGACCCAAACCGACCAAAGGGATATTCCATACCATATGACATCTGCTCAGTATAAAGCTGGGAGAAAGGAGGAAGGGGGTGGGGTCACCCTTGGTCCTCCGAGGCAATCACTACTCATGTTGGAG